GAACTTAGGCTAGACTTTGAACTCGAGGATATTTGCTCTACCTATTTGTGTGTTTAACCTGCAAATATGTGTTTACCTGCTTTGTCCTATCTTCTTGCATTTTACATGACTTTATAACCTCCTAATATGTGTTTACCTATTTATTCTTAATATTATCACTATTTCACCGCAATTACTTGTTACTGCTTTATACACTACCATCATATTTTTTCTATCGAGTATTGGCCATACAAAATCACACACAAGTCATGCGAGGGTTGTCTTTTCACCCCTCCGAACCTTCTTTTCAAAACTCTCTAGTTTCAGAGAACGACCTTATCAGGCCAACTAACATATCGTCTCGCAGTTATTCAGTCCAACTAACATATCGTCTCGCAGTTATTCAGTCAAACTCCAAAATTTAGGAAATACTCTACTCTTAGCAAACGTAGGTCATGCTGCACAAACCTTAGGTGGGTCAATCCTTTGTATTGATTCATGAGTATGAAAGACACCCTAATGTCAATGGGTTATGTACCTAACAACATGCCTTCTGTAGAATGACAAATCAATCCAGATAAGACATCAAGGATTTAGAGAAAAACACTCACCCAACCCTTTCTCTCCAGCTAGATGGAAATCAACCCCAACATCCCGAAAATTAGCATGGTCATGAGAGCACCGCACAAGTTGAAATAGTGGTGGAGAAATATCCAACGAGAGCACGAAGACGCAATCAGAACACACTTCAGGGCACTGACCACATTGATGAATGTCCTAGCTGATGGTGTACTCACCAGGTTTTTAATAGAGTTCTGGGATCTAGCTAAGGCGGTTTTCAAGTTTGTTGATTGTGAGATGATGCCAACACTTGAGAAAGTTACCATCTTTACTGAGTTGCCATTTGCCGAACAAAGTTTATACTGCCGGTCATCATGTCGGGCCATAGGTTTCTCTACGTACTGTGTTTGAAGAGTAATAAGAATTTGAGAAATGTTGAGGACGAATGGGTAAGCCTGGACCAGTTGTTTGATAGATTTTGGCATCGGGAAAGCTACAATTGGAATCTTGAGAAATCTCAGTGTGACCAGGCAATATGGGAGAGCCTTCGCCCCCTGACCTTTTCTTTAGTATAGTGGAGACTTCTGTTTTCCCATAATGGAAGGGTTGGATCAACATTAATATACTACCTCTGGTCTTGTCTATATTTCGAGGGAATCTACGGGTCACTCTTGTTCTGATGCTATTGGTAGAGATGTTCAGGGAACTATCAGCGTGTTTGAGAGGGTATGATTTCTTCACAAGTTGTAACCTGTTATTGCAAATATGGGCTACAGATCACTTCTTCCAAAGGGATCCGACCATCGACTACTTTGTCATCACTAGCAACACAATTCACAATCACGAAGAGAGGATGAGACATTGGGCAATACCACATGGTCAAGAAGAATGGCGGGAGCTCCTAACTCACCTAACCGGAAAATTTATCAACTGGAAACTTTCTTGGCTAAGTGATAGAGCAATTGTCAGAGGTCTAGAGAAGTATTTCATCGAATTGATGGGGTTGGAAGGGATTCAACCACATGCACCGCTGAGGGTCCTCAAATAGTTTGGCTTAATTCAAGATGTACTTCTTTGATCCCGAATGGCTTTATATGAGGACAACTACAGTGGTCAAGTTCCAACGCCGAGACTTAGATGGCTTCAAGATGAGTGGAGTGACCTGGACACAATGGGTATGGGGAAAAACTCATGGTGCACTCCCGAGTACTTCGTATGGATTACCGATGAAGATCAACTGGCCATGCTCAGTAGGGAAGGGTTAACTGGGATGGAAGACTCAAGAGTAGCTTTGCAGATATATCATGAGATCCTACCTCATTATCTTGTCACCCATACCATGCATTAGTAGGTAGTCCCAAGCCGGATGATGACAATTGGGTAGTGGAGTACATATAGATTGAGTCTGAGTAAGAATTGGAGGAGGACCCGGAAAAGGAGGCGGAGTACAATCTAGATGACGTTGAGGGAGAATTCGAGGAAGATCATGAAGAAGATATAGATAAGGAGACCTTGGGAGGAGATTCCGGGGATGACTATTAAGTTGTTGGTTGATTTCCTTTCTGTACTTTTAAATTTCCTAAGGGCAATTCTATAAGCCCATGCTACCTTTTTAAATCCTGGAAAACCACATTGTAGCCATTGGAAACTTACCCCATCTTTTGTATCGTTAATGAAGCCTTTGCAACCCATATATAATTAGTGAATTTCCATCAATGAAAAATTAAACTTGCTCCGGATTCGAATGTGTCAAAATTTGGATATTTGTCAAACGCTTACGACATAGGCGTACCTCCGGCAAAGAGAGGTCCATGAATATTTAGGAATGCATATATTGTGAACTAAATGCTCTATGTGATTATATTTGTGCAATCCCTGAGCTAAATTTTTTTTTTCTTTGCTTTCCCGCTTTATTGCATTATTTATTTATCCCTGAAACAGAGGTTGATTTGTGTTGATATCTAAACTGGCTAAGCCACCGTATAACCTAAGGTCCAAAGGGAAGATGACTACTACAGAAAACCCGGACGGAAATGCTCTGGTGGTAGCTGATAACCCTGGGGGATCAAGAGGGAAGGGATGAAAATCGGAATGATGAACATGTCGCTCGAATGGAACAAGAAATGGAGTCATTAAGGGAGGAGGTACAACAGATCAGGGAGTTGGAACATCTAGACGTCATGACACTCCCACAACCACTCCATTTTCCATCAGTAGATTCAATCCCCAACCACTTTCCTTCATTAATACGACAACCTACTAATACCCCAATTACTGTCACCACAAACCCTGCCATAACCCAAGTCATACCGCCAGTTACTCATGCAAACCGACCAAATCCTCCTATACACACACCTTATGTTCCCAAGTACATTCAAGCTCCAGAAAATCCACCAACCACCACCAATTTGATCCAAAACCCTCTCATGATAATGTCACTTTCACGAACACACATACGTAGTATATACCTGTGGCACATACTGCCACCCATGAGCGATATATTCCACCTGTATATACCGCATCAGAACCCACTTTTACCATGCTTGTCATGGTCAGAATTCCTTATGAGATAGGCTAGTATGCTAAAATGGAGAAGGGAGCGAAATCCAATGAAGATGAGTCGATGTCTGAACAACTACGGTACTAAGGAAACAAATAAAGAACTTGTAAGTTGTTCGAGGGAGCGAGAGCTTGGATTATGAGGAACTATGCATACACTCAGATATTGATATGCCCGAAGGGTACAAGCCTCAAAAGTTTGATATCTTTGATAGAGCAGGCGATCCCCATGCTCACTTGAGAGCATACTGTGACAAGATAGTGGGAGTGGGAAGGAATGAAAAGTTAAGGATGAAACTGTTCATAAGGAGTGTGACTGGGGAAGCACTCACTTGGTACACTAGGCAGGACCCCAGGAACTGGAGAGAATGGAAAGACATGGCCGAAAATTTTATGAACCGCTTCATGTTCAATACTGAGATCACCCCGGATAGATTCGCTTTGGTGAACCTACAAAAGAAGACCTCTAAGTCATTTCAAGAGTATGCTCATTGTATGTCTCGCCCGAATGAATTAGTTGGTACTAGAGATCAGAAGTAGTTAGAACACAACCCCCTTTGGACGACAACGAGATGACCAAGTACTTCATTCATGCTCAAGAATAAACCTACTTTGAGAAGATGATGGGAATGATGGGCCAGAAGTTCCCCGAGCTGGTCAAAATGGGAGATTTCCTAGAATAAGGTATTAAGTCTGGGAAGATACAATCAAGCAGTGTTACATGCTGTTAGCAAGGCTATACAATCCGATTCCATCAGAAGTGGGAAGAAGAAGAAAGAAGAGGTGACGGTAATCGTCCCTTATTATCAACCAAGTCCTCCTTGTCGAGCCAATCTCTACCCCGCAGACACTCATCCTCCAAACTAACCCACTTATACCCAAGTGTGCAATGCTCATCCATACTACAATATCCAACTATACTACAATCCACCCCGAGCCAATATACATCCAAACCCACCACGGCTATATTCTCTCGTTCAAACCACCACCTACCAAAATAGACATGTTTATGTCCCAGACCACGTCCAAACTTTGAAGCACGAAACCCTAAAAATTTCACCCTAATTGCTGAGCCTTTAGCCCAAATATTTAAGAGGTTGAGAAGATCCAAATTGATATACCCGATTGAAGGAAGAATCCCATACCAACCCACCAAGTATTTTGACACAAGCAAATGTTATGCCTAACATTCAGGTGTTTCTGGACACGACACCGAGGATTGTTATGGTCTGAAGAACAAAATTGAAATGCTGATCAAAAGTTGATATATCCAGTGTACCCCAGATCCACCCAAAGTAAACCATAACCCATTACCAAATCATAAAACCCAAGGAGTCAACATGATTACCTTGGATGAGGACTATGACTTAAAGGGGACTATTGTTACTATTGGGAATGCCAAAGCAGCAAGGACAACTCCTTGGGAAGCCCCATTGATCATCGTACAATTAAAGCTGCCAGTTATGCTTCTCACATATCAACAACGGCCCATCGTAGCCATTAGAGAGGATGGGAATCAAGAGTATAAGGCCGTTTCGTGGACTTATTAGTCGAAAGGAAAGGGAAAGATCACAGAAACCGCGATCGCTCATGGAATGACTAGATCTGGAAGGTGCTACTAGGGGTGAGCATAAAATTCAAAAAACCGAATTCTTCATTGGACTGAAATAATTTGGTATTTTAGTATTAGTTTATTCGGTATTTTGGTATTCTTCGGTATAGATTTTTCGGTATTTCAATATTTTGGTATGGTACTCGATATTGAGTTTTTGATATTTCGGTATACCAAAATACCAAAATATTTAAGTATAAGCCCACCTTTATTTCTATTTTCCAGTCCAATAAGCGTAAGCCCAACACTTCAAGCCCCCTAATTCCCTAATCAGTTAGGCCTTAGTCCCTTAGGATTAGAGACTTAGAGTTACGACGTCGGCAATAGCTTCTGCTTAGTGCTTACCCCCTTTCCCTTATTTCTATTTTCTAACCCTAAATTTCTCTCAAAAATTGAAACAATTGCTTGGCTGCTACTGTAATTCATGACTACAATAGCAGAGACAGCAACGTCGACTTCATGACCTTGGTAGCCGCGACTCCTCTCCTCGGCGACTGCTTGTTTGCACATTGTTGACCTTCATTCTTCAATCTTCAAGTCTTCAACAGGTTCACAACTTCTTCATTCTTCATTTTTCAATCTTCATGTTTTATGTTAGTTTGAAGTTGTTATATTTTATTTAGTTTCTTATGTTGACTATAATCAGTTTTTGAGCATTTAAAGAATCATTATTTTTGGGGTTTTAGCTAGTGAAAAGATCTGAGTTTTAGACTTGTTGAAATGTGCTTGTGTAACATGTTTTAGTTTCTTTTTTAGTTTAATAAAATGACACCACTTTGATTTATGAAAAGTTAAGAATGTGGTAGAGGTTAAACATTGCATCAGATCTAGTGAGGCAATATCATAACAATTTTGGTATGCAATTGATGCATAACGATCATACTTCTGTCGCTCATTTTCATCTACACATCTTATTTTCATAATAAGATTCTACAGTAGGATAAGGTTATTCCATTCAAAATAGCTACTTATACATAACACTATCCAAACTTCAATATATATTTAATAAGAAAAGGCACGTCAACTATAGCTTTGACTATTTCTGAGACATGAGAGAACACTATCGCGCTAACGCATGGACAAGAAAAAAACTGGTACAATTTAGCATAAAATACTTCTCCTTGACAGGATGCTACATTCTTCACCATATCAGGTATAACAGGTAATTAAACAAGCCAGTTTTAGCAAATATGAAAAATAATAAGCAACTAAGAAATCTTATCATAAAGCTTTAATAACCTTTCATTTTCTTGCAACTGAACTTGACAACCACTTGGAATCTCAATTTGTGTTTGTATCTGTTTTAATTTTGTATAGATGGAGGATGAAAGTAGAGTAAGTGATGTTGGTTCAACTGAAAGCTTACCTATTACTGAAGATAGCAATGCCAACACAATTGATACTCAGGATTCTAAGAAAAAAAAAGCCATAGAACCTAGATCCACTATTTGGAAATATTTTGATAAATTTGAGGAAAATGGGGTCGGTAAAGTGAGGTATAGATATTGTAAGCAAGCTTATGCGGCTAATTCATCTAGGAATGAACAACAAGATTGAGATATCATTTGACTAGATGTAAAGAATACCCACCTAACATTGATAAAGATAATACTCAAACAAGGATAAACTTTCAATCTTGCTAAAATGATGGAGAATTGGAAAATTTGATCAAGAAATAGTTAGTAGGGGTTTAATTGAGATGATAGTTATTGATAAACTACCATTTAGCTTTGTAAAAAATGAAGGCTTTATGAAGTTTATGAGAATAGCTCAACCACTATTTCGTCTTCCTTCTCATAGAACAATAACAAGGGATTTTTATGATGTTTACGGTGAATTGAAGCAAAATCTAAGAATGTCTTTTAGAGAAGCACAACCAAAAATTTGCCTCACAATAGATACATGAACTTCATTGTAAAAAATAAATTATATGTGTTTGACAGCCCACTTCATTGATAGGGATTGAAAATTACAAAAAAGAATACTAAATTTTTATCCTATCATTAGTCATAAGGGTGAAGAGATGACTAAAGCTATTTGTAATTGTTTGCTTGAATGAAAACTAGATAAAGTGTTCACTATTACCGTGGACAATGCTTTTTCAAATGATGTCACAATCAAAGAATTGTCTAAAACGTTAGATATGTGGAAAATTAATATGATGAGTGGTAAGTATCTTCATGTGAGATGCATGGCTCATATACTTAATCTAATTATGAAAGATGGTTTGAAATAAATTAATGCTTCTGTTACACGTGTTAGAAATATGTGAGGTATGTGAGATTGTCGCTTGCAAGGACCTTAAAATTTAAACTGTGTTGTGCACTTATAAAGGTAGAATGTACCAAAATATTGTGTTTGGATGTTCCTACTAGGTGGAATTCCACCTATTTGATGTTGGATACGGCGCAAAATTTTGAAAAAGACCAAGTTTCATCTCTTTGATAATGGATTTTCTGCTTATCTTTGTGAAGACGATAGTAGTGCAGGTCCTCTTGAATCTGATGATGCGGTGAATGTGAGGAACATAATAAAGTTTCTTGCAAGATTTCACGAGCTCACCAAAAAAAGTTTCAGGTTCACGTTTATGTCACTTCTAATGTTCATTTTGAGGATGTATCTTAACTTTATTGTCATTTGAAAATATTTTTAATTAGAGAGGATGAGAATTTAAGAAAATAGTTGAGCGGATGCAAGAAAAGTTCAAGAAATATTAGGGTGAGCCTGAAAAGATGAATAAAATAATTTTTATTGCTCCCGTCTTAGATCCACGTAACAAGTTTGAATATATTAGCCTTGCACTTGATGAACTTTTTGGGAAGGAAAAAGGGAAGAAAATAAATGATAAGGTGTATACTTATATGAATTCTTTGTTTGAAGAGTATCTAAAAACGTATTCAACAGGATTTTGTCCTCAGTCGCCATCTAGATGTACTTCATATGATAAAATATCTAATACATCTAGTGGGAGTGTTATAACTGCATCATCAATAAGGACGAAACTTCATTTGAAGAAACAAAAGGAAGACAGTGGAGGGGGGGATGCTAAATCGGAGTTCGATAAATACATTAGTGAAGAACAAGAGCCTTATAGTGAAGAATTTGATATCTTAAGTTGGTGAAAAACACATGCTCCTAGATTTCCTATTCTTTCAGAGTTGGCTCGTGATGTGTTGGCCATTCTAATTTCTAGTGTAGTGTCGGAATGTGCGTTTAGCACCAGTGGCCGTATTCTTGATTCATTTAGGATTTCATTGACTCCTAAATGCATGCAAGCTCTTGTTTATGTTCAAGATTGGCTTAGAGAAGAGAAGAATCTTATTAGCGTTGAACAAGAGCGGCAATATCTTGAGAAAATCGAACTTGGTAAGCTTTAATATTTTATGTGTGTATTAGTTCAAAATAATATATTCCACTTATTTATGTTGTATGACATATTTGGTTGAATTATCTTTTAGATATGGAAAATAATGGAAGCATTGCTAGCATTGTTGAAGTATAGTTGCAACTTGAGTGGTAAGTTGAATACTCTATTTGTTTGGTGATATACTTTTGTAATTTTGTTCTTTTATCATAAAAAATTATATTCTAACTTATGATTTTATCTTATTTTTTGTTAGGTTCAAGTTCAATCATGCCCCGTGCTCCTAAAATGTGCTCACATGTTTGGGAATACTTTGAGGTAGTAGAAGATAATGAAGAAGTTCGTAAAGTAAAGTGCAAGCATTGTGGTCGAATCTTTAATGTTTAGTGCTCCCTCAAAGCAGATCAATCAACTTGGACTGCAGAACATACATAAGGCTCTTGATTCTGCTGTCTATATATGGATATACCTTCTTAGGTGAGTTCACAATGTTTAACAATATTCCTTGTCCATTTCATTAAAAGACTATAGTTTTTAATTATAACACAGTGCTTTTAATTATGCTTTCGTCATTTTAACTATGAACTTTTAAAGGATAAGTGGCAAAAGAGTTGGTTTACGTCATTGATGGTTTCCACTAGCCACTGCCACTTCTTGTCACGTTAGATAGGGACAGTGTGATATCGAAACCATACTGAATCGTAGCGAACCAAATAAGAAAATTTTGAATCGTACCGAACTTCTTTGGTACGGTATTTGATATGCACAATTGATAAACCGAATATCAAAGTACCAAACCGTAATTCATAAATACTGTACTGAAGTACCGATCGTGCACCCCCTAGTGGACGCTTTAAAGACTGAACTTGTCATGACCCAATTTCTCCTATAGACCGTGATGGGGCCCAACGTCACCGCTAGGCAAGCCAACGATAAAATAACTATGTGATTACTCTTTTTAATAGGTTTCCAAGTAATTTAAATTCTATTTATTAAGAGATTTAAGAAGTAGGGAGTTTAATAAATAAAATGAAAACAATTGAGTGCAATCATCGATATATAAATATTTCAAAACCATAAGGTCTACTAGAGTGTGTGCCAAGACCTGGTGTTACAAGTGTATGAGTACTAGTAGAATATAAAAAACTCTAACTACTGTGTGAAATAACATGGACAGAAAATAAGTATAAAAGAAAGGCTCTAGGTGCTGCAGAACGGATGAGGAAGCAGCTCACCACTAGTCTTCAGGGTATCGGGGATGCGCGCCGGTGTGACCGACAGATGTACCTGCTTCAGATCCTGCATAGTTAGTGCAGAAGTGTAGCGTGAGTACATAAACAACATGTACCCAGTAAGTATCAAGTCTAACCTCGAAGAAGTAGTGACGAGGGGTCGACATCAACACTTACTATGGGCTAACATTAAAGAAATACATAAATCCAAATAAGCATGGGTTATGTAAATAATAATGATAACTCAATAACAAGCATAAAGTAAATAATTCTTTCACGCATGGAAAGTCCCAAATAAATTTTGTCTTATATAATCTTAGCCTCTCAAGCGAGGGAAAAGATATTAAATATATGATTACACTTTGAGTGTTATCACGTACGATTATGCCGAGGTCGTACGGTCCGATCAAGAATAATATGTACACTGCTGAGGGTCGAGCGGTATGAACCATAGATGCAGCAATCTACTGCCAAGGCGTTCGGCGTGCTCCACAAGAAGAGAGGATACTTTATAAACATCCGGTTTAATAGCTAATACAAGGCTAATGTACAATGAAACACAATTTCTTTTATTAAGGTCAAGCAACCCGCCAAAACTCAATAAGTGAAATTCGGTCTTTTATAATTCATCTAATAAGTTTTGATATAATTTAGACACTTTAATTGACAAGTAGGGTGCAAACATTACAAGTATTTTATGATTCGGGTCCTAAGCTACCCGGACATAAGCATAGTTAGTAGCTACACACGGGCTCTCGTCACCTCGTGCGTACGTAGCCCCCACAATTAGAAGCAAATAGCAATTCAAATCACCTATGGGGTAAATTCTCTCTTACAAGGTTAGGAAAGAGACTTACCTTGTCTCAAAGCTCGCTTTCCGATATCAAATTCTCTCTAAAGCCTCAACTCGATGCCAAAAAATCCGAAACTAGTCAAATTTTGTATAAATTAATCAATATATGTTTCAAATTTTATAATTTAACTATTAGAGTAATTACCCAACCCAAATTGGAAGATTCTTAAAATTCACTCCCTGGCCCACGTGCCCGGATTCCGAAAATTTTCGAAGAACGTTATTACCATAATCTCACGAACACAAATATATAATTTTCACTCAATCCTATAACCATTTTCATGGGTAAATCCCATTTTTATCAAAACCTAGGGTTGTTCATCTAAACAGATAATTTTCATAAATTTTCACGTTAAAATTTACCCATAATCTATGTATTAAACTTACATTGCATAGAGATTACTTACCTCCAATAGCTAGGTGTAAATCTCTCTCTAGGAAGCTCGAAAATCGCCCCAAGAAGTGAAATAAATGAACCAAAAATGACCTAAGTCCGAAATAAATGGACGTCACTGCCTCCAAGACTTTCGTATCTGCGGTCCATGGGCCGCATCTACGGCACCGCTTCTGTGGAGAAAGGTCCGCCTCTGCGAAATTCCCCAGGCCCATCATTGGCCGCTTCTGCGGACAGCATACCGCTTCTGCAGTCCCGCTTCTGTGATTGGTCAAGCGCACATGCGGCCCTATCGCACATGCAGGCTAGTCATCGCAGAAGCAAGGCCGCTTCTGCGCGTGATTCTCCGCTTCTTTTGCCTCTGGAAAAATGCTTCAAAGCCTCTTCTGCGGACAAAAGATCACATATGCGGGCTCGCACCTGCGGCCATAAGCTCGCAGGTGCAGGAACACCAGAACTGGTGCACCAGCAACCCTTTTGAGTTCTAATTCGATCCGTGCATAGTCCGGATTGCACCCGAGGCCTCATCCAAACATACCAACAAGTTCGTAAACATAAAACATACTCGCTCGCACCCTCAGAATGCGGAAAACAACATTAGAACTAAGAATCGCAACCTAAAACCAATAGGATCAACTTATGAACTTCAAGTTCTTCCAACTCGCTCTAAACGCACCGAATGATACCTAAACTACTCGGAATGACACCAAATTTTGTGTGCAAGTCTTAAATTACTATACGGAGCTATTCTCAGGTTCGAAATCCCAAACGGACCTCGATATAACCACAACCTACTCCAAACCAAATTTAAAGAACATTTAAACCTTCAATGAGGCAACTTTCAACATTAAGCGCCGAAACGCTCCCGGATCATCCAAAACTTGATCCGAACATACGCCCAAGTCCAAAATTATCATACGAACCTATTGGAACCGTCAAACCCCCAGTTTTGAGGTTGTTTACTAAAAATGTTGACCAAAGTCAAACTTAGCCTTTTAAAAGCCAATTAAGGAACTAAGAGTTCCGATTTCAACCCGAACCCTTCCAAACCCGAACCAACCATCCCCGCAGGTCATAAAATATTAAAAGCACATACGGGTAGTCTTATTTAGGAAAATGGGGATCTAGAAAGCAAAACGACCGGTTGGGTCGTTACATAACTAAATGGAGTAACTATCATTATCATACCAAAGCGAGCTCGTATGAGTTTGGGAATAGAGGATTTTATTGATGATAAAAAAAATTAAAGATATAGGTGACAATGCATGGTATGTTTTAGCATAGAGACATGAAGGGGAAAGAAAAGTTGGTGAACAGCATTTGAGGGATTATGCGGGACCAAAATCGAAACTATCCTTGGAGGAAATGTTGATTAAATTGGTATGAATTGAGGATAAGTCAATGAAGGTTCTCCATTATGACAAGGAGGATAGAAAAATTAGCCGTGAGATTCTATCCACACTGACCAAGAAGGTAAATAATTTAAAAATGTGTAATATTTTTGGTATGTGTTTAATGTCAAATACATTTATGGTAATTATTTTTATGCCTATACAATCAATTCATCTGTGGCCATTCCTACTCAACGTAGTTGACCAACTCAACGTATCGTTGATGAGGCGCAAGATTATGTCATCAACAAGGAGAATGAAAAGGCTATGATTGAAAATGTAGATACTGAGCCAAGCTTGGTTGCTCTTGATGACAAGCTAACTAATTTAGATGAGGAACCTGGTGCTGATGAGAATACAACTGAATTCCATGATCCAGCTGTAGCTGTAGATATGAAGATGGCGATTGAGTTACAAGAACCAAGTATTCCTGAGAAGGAAAGTGAGGTCCATGCACTGTCCTAGGACGACAAGACTAGTGACACTAATTCTGGTGTTAGTGGTGAAGCAAATTATGATATTGATCGTGAAGTTAAATGTGGAGTTATTAGTGGAGCTAATTCTTGGGTTGAACCAACATAGAGCTTGGCAGTGAACTAGTTGATGTCTTAGGTATTGTGGCTAATATTGAAGAACAGAAAGTTGGAGAAAAAGTGGGTGATGGATCATTAAAATAGTGATGTAATATGCATGTGAATGGATCATTATCTAAATGTGCATGTGTTTTTACTGTGATTTAATCGGTGAATGTGAATGTATTTCTACTATGATTTATCTGAATGTAAATATTATAAACTGCAATGGTGGTAAATTGTTGACTAAGGGAACATAAAATGAAGATGTACGTTCCCCCGATTAAGGGAACATAAAAAATGCTAATGTAGTGTTACCTTTTCGGTTTCGGATGAGTTCCACTTAATTTCCAAGCCGGTGGGGGTAGCCAACAACTTGAAGCATCTAGCTTCGGATAAGGATTGGGAAAAAATGGATGCTCTCTCTGCTAAATGTCTTATCAACAACAACATGCATCTGGCAGCTCAGGTATCTTTTCATCCTTCTCTCCTCCCTTTATATTTTTTAACCACTATCTTTGATAACTTTAATCTTTGAATTTACAAGCTAATCTCCTTGCTTCTAAGGGCTTATAGAAGATGATCCTGGATAAAGAGGCACTTAAGATTGAGGGGGATCAGCTTGTTGAGCACTTCCTAGCTCAAGAGGCATGGCTTGCTCACATGGGTGAACTCAAAGCTTGATTGAAGCAAACGGAGCATTGAAAGATGGCCCATAGCCAAGAGGCCACTTAGTTTCGTGTTGAGCTTGCTGAATTTAAGATCAAGTGGGCAGAGCTGCATGATGCCGTAAACTTGGCGTCAAAATGTAAGTCTACTTCCATGTAAATAATTAACAACCTAGAAGTGAACTTACTCTCCAAAACCGAGGAAGCTTTCGCGGTTGAAGAGAAGAGGGACATAATGGAAGAGAGGTTTAAAAAGGTCATGGAGAAAAATTGTGAACATGCTAAGACTAATACTGACCTTTCCGGAGCTTATGATATCTTGAAGATTGACAACGAGCAGTTGCAATTGAAAATCCAAAGACTCCAGGCCAGACTCCATTACCAAGAAGACATCTTCTTGCTTGAGAAAACACATGTTGTTTATCACATGAAGAGGAAGACATTGTAGGATGCCAGAAAATGGCATTTATAGACGACTGCATCGCTGAAGCTCTTGCCTTAGAGACAACTGCCTTCGAAAATATTCTTGCTCAGCTCACTGCTTCAAGCTTCTCGAGCACTTGCTTTGAGTGCTCGGAAACTAAGGAAGAAGTTGAAGATTATGAAGATAAGGGCAAAGATATTGAACCCGATGCTGAGAAACCTTCATCTTCAAAAGATGCAGTGAAGATCTCTAATCCTTCAACTTCTTCTGATAAAGCAGAGTAATATATTTTTCCTCTTTATTTTTTTTATCCTTTGTAATTATCCCAGAACCTCTATTGGGTGCGAGGTTTTGAAATAAAAGATATCTTTTCTGAACTCTTATCTTTCTGTTGATAAAGTCCGGGAATTTTTACTTCCAGTTAACTTTAATATCAGGCATTCATACTTTCGATTTTTAACCTTTATTTATGAAGGTTTCATAGAGAAAGACCTTATGTTTACGATGATCTTGAAGAGGGCGTCCTTCATTCTTTCACTTGCATTTGAAGTTTAAGTAACATTCAAATGAAAGAAAATCCATATCATTCGGACAAGAAATAAGATATAAAAACAAAAGGACTCTTACTTATTCCTTCTATTTCCAAAAGTACATTTACATAAGCCAAAAGAATTTATATATTAGCTTAAGTAAATAAAACTGCATACATGCAGCCGCTAATTTGTACTTAGACATACATTCCCTGGACCTGACTCGAGGTCTTTCATAACAACTAAACTTTCACATTCAAGAAATAGTTCCCGGTTCTAGCAGTCTCCGGTATCATTTTTACATTTTCTTTTTGAGGCTAGCATTGACACTTTAAGTGCTCTGATATACAGTATTTCATAGTCTCTCCCTCCTCAGTGTTCAGATGCACAGTATGAGAATTTGAACACTAGAGTTCTTGTTGCTATCAACAATCATTCTTCAGAGTATGCTTTACGTTGCTACCTCAATAAATACCTAGACAGAAAAACTCATTTGACATAAGAACTGGATGAAGAAAAAAAGAGTACAGCGCGTACTTTCAATATAATCAAGGATCTTCAACAGTAGTACCTTTTGAGGAGAGTCACGTTCCAATTGCTTGGTAATTTACTCCATCTTGATTTTCCAGTTGATATAAATCTTTATCGGTTATAGCTAAAATTCGGTAAGGTACTTCCTAGGTCGGTCCCAACTTTCCGGCATTGACTTCCCAAATATTACAAGTTACCTTCCGTAAGACCAAGTCTTTGACTTTAAAATAACGGAGATTTGCTCTACGATTGTAGTATCTTTCCATCCTTTTTATTTTGTGCCACCATTCTTACATAAGCCAAGTTTCGATGCTCCTCAAGCAAATCTAACTTAATTATCATTGCTTCATCATTCTCCCATTCGTTTATCCAGGAATACCTCATGGTCGTTTCATCTATCTCCATCGGAATCAAAGCTTCCGCACCGTACACAAGGGAAAAAGGTATTTCTCCTATGCACAACTTTATCGTTGTTCGATATGCCTACAATACTACAGGTAACTCTTCAGGCCACCTGCCTTTTGCATGCTCTAATTTCTTTTTGAGGTTTTGCATTATCACCTTGTTAGTCGGCTCTGCTTGACTGTTAGCACTTGGGTGGTATGGGGAGGAAGTGATCCTTTTAATCTTCAATTCCTCTAAGAATTTTATAAACTTGGAACCTATAAATTGTGACCCATTGTCAAAAGCAATTTCTTTCGGCACTCCAAACCAGCAAATAATATGATATCAGATTAAACCAATCACTTCTCGTTCTCCAAACTTCTTGAAAGCACCTACTTTAACCCATTTAGTAAAATAATCACTCAAAACAAAAATAAATTTTACATGTCCGGGTCCTTATGGCAAAGGACCAACTATATCCATCTCCTATTTCTTGAACGGCCACAGTGACACCACTGAATGCAATAATTTTGCCTGTTTATGTACCAGTTGAGCATAACATTGGCATTTATCATATTTTTGCATAAACGCCTTTGCATCTTGCTCCATATGCGACCAATAATGATCGGGTCTAATTAATTTGAGCACCGATGAGTCTGCATTAGAGTGATTGCTACAAACTCTTTTATAAACTTCCCTAATCACATAATTAGCTTATGTTTGTCCTAAGAATTGAGCCAAACGGGCAACTTTTATTCGCAATGCCCGAGAGGGTTTAGAGTCATCAGGCAGTTTACCATGTCGTAAATACTTTATAAACTCATTTCCCCAATCTCAAACTAAGTTTGTTGAGTAAACTTTGCAATAGCCATCCACGTTTAGGACCAAATGCAACAACTGAACAACTGCACGGGAATCTGCGCCTTTTATCTCTGCAAACAAACCTAAATTAGCCAACACATCTTCTTCCACATTTTACTCTCATGGAATGTGGATCACTGACCACTCCCTCCACTGGCAAAGCAAAATTTGAACTTTATTCAAGTACTGTTGTATGCGCTCTTCTTTGGCATCAAAGTTCCCATATATCTAATTTACCACCAATTGGGAATTGCACTTTACTTCAATCGCCTTAGAGCCAAGTCCCCGGGCTAATTAAAGTCATGCAATCATAGCCTCATACTCGGCTTCATTGTTAGTCAATGGAACAGTTTAAATGGCCAATCTCAAATTTCTCCTGAATGAGTGATTAATACTATTCCAAGACCGAAATCTTTTATATTGGATGTGCCATCCGTAAATAAGGTCCACACACTGAAAATAGTCCCAAATATCAGAACTACTTCTTTTGCACCTAAAGGCAACATCCCTGGTCTAAAATCAGCCACAAAATTGGCCAAAACGTGTGACTTAATCACAGTCTGTGGTTTATACTCAATATCAAATTCGCTAATTTCAACAACCTATTTAGCCAATCGACCCGATAACTCAGGTTTATGAAGGATGTTCCTCAAGAAAAAGTTGTCACAATGACTATTGGGTGACACTGAAAGTATGGTCAAAGATTTCGAGATGCGACTACAAGAGCTAGAGCTAACTTTTCCAGGTATGGGTATCGTGTTTCCGCACCTGACAGTATTTTACTAACATAATATATAGGGAATTGTGTACCTTTTTGCTACCGAACTAGAACTGCACTCACTGCAACTTTCGATACCGCCTGATAGATTAACAACTTCTCTCCATCCTTTGGTTTAGACATTAATGAAGGACTAGACAAATACCTCCTCAAGTCTTTTAATGCTTAATGACACTCCGGTGTCCACGAGAAGTGATTCTTCTTCTTTAATAGTGAAAAGAATCGGTGACATTTCTTCGATGACCTTGATATGAATCTGCTAAGGGCCACCAACCTGTCGGTCAACCTTTCCACCTCTTTACACTTTTCAGTTGGTCAGGAATATCTTTTATGGCTATAATCTTGTCAGAATTTACTTTAATTCCTCTTTGGAAAACCAAGAAGCCAAGAAATTTCCTGGATCCAACTCCAAAGGCATATTTCTACTGGTTAAGCTTCATGTTGTACTTCCTTAAGCTGTCGAATATTTCTTGAAGATGGGTCAAATGAACCCCTGCACCGAGAGACTTAACCAATATGTTATTAATATAGACCTCCATGGTTTTACTAATTTGGCATTAAAATATCTTATTAATAAGTCTCTAATAAGTGAAAGCATTTATAAGCCCAAAAGGCATCACATTATAACAATATGTACTAGAACTTGTAATAAATGAAGTATTTTCTTGATCCTCTGGGTTCATCCTAATTTTATTATACCCGGAGAGTGCATCAAGGAAACTCATCAACTCATGTCGAGTCAAGGCATCGATCATTTGGTCGATGTTCGGCAATGAGAAAGAATCCTTAAGGCAAACCTTATTTAAATCCTTATAATATATACACAATCTAAATTTAATATTCTTTTTGGGTACGAATACCACGTTATCTAATAAATCAGGATAATTTACTTCACGTATTAAACGTATATTTAGCAACCTGGTTACCTCCTCTTTGACAAACCTATTTGAACTCGACTATCAGCTGCTTCTTTCACTTTATCGAAGGAAAATTAGGGTCCAAACATAGCTTGTGGACAGCCCCTTCTTGTAGAATACATGTCATATCTGAATGAGACCATGCAAAAGAGTCAGTGTTAGTTTTAATAAATTTAATAATTTTAAGCCTGAGTTCGGGCTCAACCACATTCCCAAGTAAACCTTTCTTTCCGGGAATTCCGTGAACAAAGAAATTTGGTCAAGATCTTTTGCAATTGACTTTGTTGCATCCGTTTCTTCCGGTACCTGGAATGATCTAGGCACCTGGTAAATATCCGATGTCTCCTCCTAATTATCATATTCCACTGGGACTGAAACAGACGTTGACACTGGTTCCTGTAATTGATAGTTAATGATTCCTTCCGCCTTACTACTAGACAAAGTGGCATCATTCATTTCCCTTGTAGCAGGTTGATCACCTCTAATCTACTGAATTCTATCTGGTGTAGGTTGTTTTAACAATTGATGATAAGTAAATGGTACATCCTTCATTTCGTGGATCCATGGTCTACCAAGAATCACATTGTAACCCATATCTACATCCACAACTTCAAACAAAATGGATTCTGTCACCCCTTCAGCATAGGTAGGAAACATGATCTCTCCTCGAGTCGTTACGCTTGTTAGGTTGAACCCAACTAAAAATCTTTGTCGCCGCAATTATGTTTTCGGTCAGTTATTCTTGTTACAAGACCCTTAATTGGGTAATATTGGCCGAAGTACCTGGATCAAACAATAGACACTTAATTATAAAATCTAAAACATTTAAAAATATTACTATAGTATCATTGTGCGTTAAAATAAGGTCATCTACATCTTCTTCCGTGAAGGTGATTTCATCATCTTCTCACGCTTCCCAAATTCTCTTGCCATGAATAAATTATATCTTTGTCTTTTTTGCTGCCGAAAATATCACCCCATTTACTTCAACCCCACCAAAAATTATGTTTATTGTTAGGCGGGGAGACCCTGTGGTTGGTTTTTCTAGTTCTGTTGCATCCCGACTCCGACCGTACTTGCTCTTAGCCGGTCACTTAAAAGTTCTCTAAGATGACCATTTTTCAAAAACATCGCTACCTCTTCATGAAGTTTCTGGCAGTCCCCAGTCCTATGCCCATGAGTACCATGGAACTCACACCACAAATTAGGATCTTTTTCACTAAAGTCTAATCGAAATGGTTTTTGAAACCCCACTTCCTTAATTTTTCTCATAGATGAAACCAACTCCAACAAACTGATATTAAAATTATAATCCGATAACCGGAGATATCCTAATTTCGGGGACCCCGATGATTCTTTATCTTGCAAGGTTCTATTACTTCATCCGCGATTTCTCCTTCTGTCTGGTCCAAGTCTTTTCGACAACTGAAAACCTATAACTCCATACCCTTGACTTGATCGAGCATCCGACCTATTGTTTGACACATAAGGTTGAAAACGGCTCCTGGATAATCTCCTGTCCGTATCAAGATCACTCTTGAATTTTTCATGAAATCGATCATGGTTTCGACCCTTGAAAGACACCGAAGAACCAACCGGTCATCTTCAATCCTAATCTTTGAATCATAGCGATTATGGATATCAGCCCAAGTAGTTGCTTGAAATTGCAATAGACATTCCTTCAACATCCTCGAGGCATCAAAACTTAAGGGATTAAAACGTTTTGGTGAATGGTTCTTGTAACGACCCGGTTGGTCGCTTTGAGTATTACAACCTCGTTTCCCATATTTACTGCTAAATTTATGCTTTACAGTTATTATGTGACTTTTCGGGGTAATTGGTTTGGGTCCGGTGAGGTTTTTGGAATGAATTGGAACACTTAGTTTCAAGGTTTAAAGCTAAAGTTAAAATAGTGACCGGATATCGACTTATGTGCAAACGACCCCAGAATAAAGTTTTGATGATTCCAATAGCTCTGTATGATGATTTTGGACTTAGAAGCATATCCAAAAATAGTTTTGGAAGCCCGTAGCTAAATTAGGTTTGAAATGGCTAAAATAAAAATTTAAGTTTGGAAGTTTGACCGAGGAGTTGACTTTTTGATATCGGAGACAGAATTCACTTCTGAAAATTTTTATAGCTCTGTTATGTCATTTATGACTTGTGTGCAAAATTTGAGGTCAATCGGAATTGATTTGATAGGTTTCGGCATCGAATGTAGAAGTTGAAAATTTTTAAGTTCTTAAGCGTGAATTGGGGTATGATTCGTGATTTTAGCTTTGTTTTATGTGATTTGAGGTTTTGAATAAGTTCGTATGATATTTTAGGACTTGTTAGTGTATTTGGTTGAGGTCCCGAGGGCCTCGATTGAGTTTCCGATGGTTAACGGATCAAAATTTGGACTTAAACAGCTGCTGGAATTTTTCTGCTGGAAATTGGGGGTAGAAATCGAAGAAGCGATGGAGGCAGCGATGGAGACAGCGATCGAGGGCAATGATGGAAGCAGCGATCGGGAGCAGCGATCGAGGCAGTGATGGGGGGAAGCAATCGAGGGCAGTGATCGGGGGCAGCGATTGAGGGCAGCGCCTGGATAGAAACTTTAAGTTATAAAAAGGGGACTTTGTCCCATTTTTCATTTCTAACAAATTGGAGCTTGGGGAGAGGCGAATTTTTAGAGATTTTCAAGGAAAAATATCGGGGTAAGTGATTCGAACTCGGATTTGGTCAATATACGTGAGTATATCATTATTTTCATCATTTAATTAGTGTTTTTAGATGAAAATTTGGGAAAAACTGTAGAAATCTCATAAAACAAATTATTGAGATTTCGATGTCGATTCGGAGTCGGATTTGACTGAAACTAGTATGGTTGGACTCACAATTGAATGGGTTATCTGATTTTGTGAGTTTTGTTGGGTTCCGAAACGTGGCCCACAGGCGATTTTTGGGTGAAATTTCGGATTTTTATGGAAAATTTATATTTTCATATGGAATTAATTTCTATAATTTTTATTGACTGAACCGGATTATTTGTGGCTAGATTCGAGGCGTTTGGAGGCTAATTCGCGAGGCAAAGGCATTGCAAAATAAAGAATTACACAATTTGAGGTAAGTAACAGTTCTAAATTTGGTCCTGAGGGTATGAAACCCTAGATTATGTGTTATGTGGTTGGTTTTGAGGTAACGCACATGCTAGGTGACGGGCGTGTGGGCGTGCACCGTAGGAATTATGACTTGGTCATTTTCATGGAACTGTGTAGTCGAATAATCTGTTGATATTCGTACATTTTTTCATGTTTTAGAGAAATCGAACTATAAATCACGTTTAAACCATGTGTTTACATTGTTGGGACACACAGAGGTCGTGTACTTATGGAATTATCTGCTAAATTGCTATTTTGCACTCAGTCACAATTTTATTTGCACATTTCATCTCAGTCTCTATTGTTCATTGTTGATGCATCATATCATTGATGTTTGGGATGCTTATCATGATTTCTGAGAGCCCGAGAGACTGGAGAGATTGATGACTGAGTGAGGCCGAGGGCCTAATTGTGAGGATATTTATGGGATCGGGTTGCACGCAGCAGTATGTTTCATTGATTTATGCCATTATTAGTTTGTTATAGCGCATGGGTTGAAGGAGCCCCTACGTAGTCTGTACACACCCCAAGTAAGCGCAAGTACCTACTGAGTGTAAGTTCCGAGTGCCGAGTGATTGAGAGGAATGAGTGAATATGAGGAAAGAGTGACTGTGAGATTGGAGTGAATGGGAGGACTGAGTCTGTTACTCCTAGAGGATGCATTGATTCCATTATTGCTGCATTTCAGCTGTCATATATCACTGTTTTGGAAAACTCTGAAAGATATTATTTCTGTTTCAGTCAAATTTGATATGAAATTATTGTGGAGTTTTAAATATTGAACTTGAAAGCATGCCTACCTTTTCCTGTTAGAAATTACTGTATTTGAACTTAGCTGTGAAGCTCGTCACTACTTTCAGTTCTTTATTTATTATTGTTACTTACTGAGTTGGTTGTACTCATACTACACCGTGCATTTCGTGTGCAGATCCAGGTGATCCCGGACACAACGGGTGTTGATTCTTTCGCACAGTTGATTTTTCGGAGATTTTAAGGTAGCTGCAGTGTTTTGCAAACCTTGTCTCTCTATCCCTATCTCTTTGTTTTTTGTATTTGATCTCAGACTATTATAGACCATATTTTCCAGACTTGTAATGTGTATATGCTCATGTACTCAGTGACACCGGGTTTTGGGAGTGTATTTATAACTATTATTTATGGGATTTTCTCTTAAACTTAAATTATTATGTTTTTCCGTATTTAAAAGAAATTGTGGGTTATTGATGTTGTCAGCTTGCCTAGCATTGAGATAGGCACCATCCCGACAGCTAGGATTTTGGGTCGTGACAAGTTGGTATCAGAGCCTAGGTTACATAGGTCTTACGAGTCATGAGCAGGTTTAGTAGAGTCTTGCGGATCGGTACAGAGACGTTTGTACTTATCTTCGAGAGGCTGCTGAACCCTTAGAAAAATTTTACTTTCTTGTATTTTGTCATGCGGATTTGTTGATTCCGGAAATTAAAAATTCTGTTATTCTATTCTCTCACAGATGGTGAGGATACGTACTACCGGATCGGAAGGTCAGCCACCAGTGCCACCAGTTAGGGCCGCGAGAGGTCGGGATCGTGGTAGAGGCTGGGGCCGAGGCAGAGGTCGAGGTGTAGCTCGTACAACATTTGGAGCAGCACCTGTAGCACCATCAGTTACTCCAGCTCAGGGGCAGATTCCAAATATAGTTGAGCCGGCAGGACCAGCTCAGGCACCAACTGTGCCTATTGTGATTCCAGGCCTTCAGGAGGCTCTATCACAGATATTGACTGTTTGCACAGGACTTGCTCAGGTGGTTTCTGCTCAGGCTGGGGGAGGTACTCATACCCCTGTTGCCCGTACTCCATAGCAGGTAGTGCAGGGACTTCAGATACCGAGGGCACTACCAGTCTAGCCAGTTGCAGCTGCCTGTAGTCCCTGTTATGGCAAATGATAAGCAGAGGAGACTTGAGAGATTTGGGAGGCTTCCACCTCCATCATTTAGTGGTGCTGAGTCAGAGGATGCTCAGGGTTTTCTGGACAAGTACCAGTGGATACTTCGGATAGCAGGTATTCTGGAGACTAGTGCGGTCTCGTTCACTACTTTTCAGTTTTCTAGGACTGCCTTCAGATGGTGGGAGGCTTATGAGAGGTGCAAGCCGATCGGTGCGGCACCACTTACATGGCAGGAGTTCTCCGTTTTCTTTTCAGAGAAGTTTGTGCCGCAGTCTCGCAGAAAGGAGCTCCGCAGACAGTTTGAGCAGCTACCTATGATGAAATTCTAGAGAGGCTCAACTCTCTTGCATTGGCTATCATTCACACTTTTCAGTTCTATTTTAAGTACTAATGTCCATGTGGTGATGTATTTAAAAAAAATTGCTTCAGGTGTGCAGATGACCCACAAACTTGATTAACCTTTTATTTTGATCCTTCTTGCGAACAGGGATTAGATTATAATTATGTGCTTTATGTTATTTTACAAATCTTGTTTTTTCATATACTATTTTTGATAATGCCAAAGGAGGAAATAAAAGATAGAAGGATTAAAAGAGTCATGCAATCAGCTAACGCAGAATGAAGTCATGAAGATCAAGCCCAGCTAAATGAAGATGATGAGTCTAGACAAGCTAAGCCCAATAAGAATCGGGATCTAAAGCTGACGCAAGACTTCAAGTCAAGCAAAACTAATGTGATTCATTAGTAAGAGACAAGTTAGTTAAGGAATAAATGAGATCAACGTTCTTCAAGGCTGACTGAAGTTAAAATTCTCTTGGGCCACTCGTAAAATCAGTTCCAACATCCTCTTGGGACTGTATCAAGTCAATTCCCTCATTTATATATGAAAATGAACCGAACGATATCAATGCATCAGATTAGAATGACGGCTAGCCACAAAGGTGCTATAAATACTGAAAATCTTCTCAGTTGAACAACACACAACTTCCATCTCAAACAAAGACTACTCTCTTTCTGTTTTTAAACAAGTATCGTGGTTACCCGAAAAACGGATATAGTTGAATTTATACATAATTCTAAGGATACGTGGTATAACTTGGCACAAATCGAAAAGTGAGTAGAAATATATCGAATATTGACTTGTAAAGAATGAAATACGAACCAATATTTAATTAGAAAACGATTTAATGATCTAGCAAGATAAATCAATGTATAAAGCTCACAAGAGGATAATCTCTACTGTATTTCTCTGTCAATAGTAATATCTGAATATAAGAGTGTATGTATGTCTTAATGTTGGATCCTTAGAGAAATAATAGGCATCCCTCTTATAGTGGATGGATCCTACTTTGGATATAATTAAAAATACATAGTGGGGAACCTATGATAGAATAGTTTTTCCCAAATTTCCGCCGAGATTCTCTCTCCTGAGTGCGTCTGTAACGGCTCTTGTCCCATGGCTCGATCTTGATCGTACTTGGTATTGGTTGATTTCCAGATTTAGAGCTCGTTATTGACTTGGGCTCGATATTGACTCGGGGACCAGTATTGACTTGGGCTCGGTATTGGTCGGTCTCTGGCTCTAAAGCTCGATAGCCCCGCTTCGCATCATAGTTCGATTTGGATTTGAGCTCGGTAATGACTTCGAGTTCGGTATTTGATCGGTCTCGGAAATTTGAGCTCGGTAACCTGATTTCGGATCTCATACATGATATTACGAGGATGACCTTCGGTCCATTATGTTCCAATCTTGACTAATCATATGAAGGTCGAAATCAGTTTTAACCGTATATAGATAGTCCCCTCATTTCTCGGGAAGAATATGGCGAGAAACGACATGATTTTCAAGCGATATGACTCGATACAAACTGACGTTTGCATCGAGCCCGACCGTGACATACGTGATAGTTGTCCCGTCGGTTTAGTTTACCAAGGCATTAAATACGTGTTAGATGATGGTCGGCCATTGTTGACACTGAACCGTCATTGCCAACCGTATAAATAGCCCCTCTTTTTACCATTTTTTAACTTTTACATCTCCAAATTCTCTAAGTTCCCTTTCGCATCTTCTGAGTTCTTCATTTGTAAATTTGTGTTTTTTACTGCAAAATCCCTCTTTAGAATACCAAATCTAGTCATCTTCCTCTATCTTCAATCTTCAAATCCCAATGGCAAAAACGTCAAAAGTCATTCCTTAAAAAGAAAAAGCTTCTTCTTCGCAGCCCGCCGGCGACAAAACACCGGTGGAGCCACGACTTGAGGAGTGTGTTCCCGGGAGGTATGTTCTTACCTCCGATTTTAAGATTGACAAAGCTTCGCCGGTCCCTGGTCGATGCGAGCTAGCATCAAGATATATGTGCTCGATAACCGAGGGTTATCTTAAGCAGATAAGGAAAGATTGCAACTGGGAGGACATAGAAGTGATAGTTCCGGCTCCCGAAGAAGATATTACTATACATGTGAAATGGTTTTTAAGTGTGTATACTTACCCTTTCATGTTGGGCCCTCTCGACCTTGTTGTCATCAATTTTTGCCGCCAATATCAAGTAACCCTAGGCCAAATCCATCCTTCTTTTTGGCGGATCGTTATTCTGATTTGCTT